TTCATCTGACACCTTGTAACACGAATAATGACCAGCTTAACACCATTTATCTTCTCTGTATTGTCCCACACGTAAGAAATATTCTGCAGGTAGACTACATGTGCAGTTTTAAAATATTGTCTGTCGGTAATGTCTTGAACAGACACTTGGTTGTTAGAAATGATGGACAATGAGGAGCTGGCACTCGAGGAAGAGGGCTGAAGGCTGATTTATCCGTCTGTGTGAAGCGCACAGGTATGCTTAAGCATCGGTGCAGCCTTCACATGGTCGCATATCCCTCGCTGTGGCTGACGGAAATGCGCATCTCTCAAATAATGTAATGTTCCCTAACTAATATTATCATCAGGACAGAGCAACAGTATATACAACAAAAGGTTTTAATAATTATTTTAAAGTCATTTTTAAATGCTTATAATTTAGGGGAGACTTTCTTCACCTAACCTGGAAATAATAACCAAAAGATTAAAGGTGTTAAAATGAAAGAGCACGGTGTAAAACAGCATGTGGCGTCATTCACCATGAGCTACGAGTGATAACAAGTGGATTACTGAGATCTTCATCCACCTCAGCCCAACACACGGAGTTAAAAGCAAGCATAGTAAAAGAGTAAAGCCCTCACGTCTTTCTCCAGGGGTTCACTGTGGACGAGGCGAGGTTTGGAGTAAACGAACATCCCAGTGGAAGAGGAGTCCTTGTAACTGGAGGTGAGGATTTGCAGGATGTCTGAGAATTCTCTGGAGTCTGGAGACACAGTCTGGAATAGAGCTGTAAAGGCGGTGAGAAAAGCATCAGAACACAACACAAACACGACCCCCTCCATCACAAAAACACATTTTAATCAATATATCTAAAGTGTTGATCATAGTATTCTGCTGTTGCAGGTTGCTCTGATAGTGGCCTTCAGCTCTTCTGCAGTGTTGGGTCTGGCATATGGCGTCTTCCTCTTCATAGGTTTTCAATGGGGTTAAGGTCAGACGAGTTGCTGGCCAATTGAGAACAGGGATAGCAGGTACTGGTAGCTTCGGCACTGTGTGAAGTCCTGTTAGAAAATGACATCTGCATCTCTATAAAGTCGGTCAGCAGCAGGAAGTGCTCTAAAACGTCCTGGTATAGGGCTGCGTAGACCTCAGAAAACACAATGGAGCAACACCAGCAGATGACATGGCACTGGAAACCATCCCCGACTGTGGGAACTCCACACTGGACTTGAAGCTATATGGATTGTGTGCCTCTCCTCTCCTCCTCCAGACTCTGGCACCCTGATTTCCAAAGGAAATTTACTTTAATCAGGGAACATGACTTTGGAGCACTCAGCAGCAGTCCAGTCTTTAGCCCAGGCGAGACGCTTCTGATGCTGTCTGTTGTTCAAGGATTGTGGCAGCTGAAGGCCATGTCTTGCATTCATCAGTGCCCAGTGGTTCTTGAAGCACTGACTCCAGCTGCAGTCCACTCTTTGTGAATCTCCTGCACGTTTACGAATGGGTTTTGTTTCATAATTTCCTCCAGGGTGGGATTATGCATGTTGCTGTGCACTTTTTTACCACTGAATCTTTTCCCTCCCTTCACCTCTGTATTAATGAGCTCTGTGAGCAGCCCGCCTTTTCAGAAAGACCTGTTGGCTGTTTCTCATTCTGCACTCTTCAGCGATCTCACGTCCTCGTATAACATCTGCCAAAGTTCAGTTCAAATACTCAAGACCGCGAGAACAGAGGACGCGTGAAACTTCCCGGATGTGTTCTTGATATCGAGGACGCACTGATGCAGACTGAACTCGCTCTAGAAGTTCCAGAAGTCATTGTGACTGAAGGTGGGAAGCGCAGCCTTTTATATTGGGTTATGATTAACGTTCAGAGATGTATAACTGATTTACCTCAGGAGTTTCCCTAAATGAAACGGTGAATATAAACATCAGCATGGACATCTTAATGAAGAAACACATCAGGCTGTTTATTTGCTGAAATTCACATTAAAGTCTTTTTATTTAACTCGTGCAGTGTATATTTGTAAGATCTGTATGCATTGTATATATTGTGAAAAGGGGAACGCAATCACTCGTTGTATGAGTGCTGTAATGTTCAATAATCTCAGCATGTCATTTCTCAGGATGCGTTCTCTGTTCTCGCGGTCTCCTGAGTTCTCCTAAGCACACCTGGCAAGACCGCTCTCCACAAGAACGCAAGTCCGTTCTCTGCGTTCTCAGAACTGAGAAACAGCCTTCATGTCTTGCTCTTCTTGTGCAAGGTGTCAACGGTCGTCTATTGGACTTGTTGTTGCGTGTCCCGCTGGCGCAACTGTGAGCAGGACAGCAAGTCTTTGTGATGATTCAGGAGCTATGGTATCCAGTGTAACGTCAGCATACCACCAAGAAGGATGAACCACATCCAACACCGAGTAACTGTGGGTGCGAGAGGAAGCGATTAAGAAAAAGATGTCTAGGTGTCGACCCAGACTGCATCCAAAAGCCACAACTGCCCGACTCACTGCAGCTACCCTGCACCTCAACTCTCAAACTGTTTCCACCAGAAATGTTCGTCGGGAGCTCCACATGGCCGGGCTGTTCAATGCAGGTTTAATAGTGCTAGATGCATAAATCCAGGGCTGTGGACAATGTCAAGCATGTACTGTCCTCTGATGAGCCCACCTTTACTGTCTCTCACATCCAGGAGAGTTACAGTGTGGAGAGGCACCAAAGAAGCGAACCAGCCAGGCTGCCGATGCCGAGACTGAAGTATGGGGGTGTGTCAGTGATGTTGCTATAACACGGCATTCCCTGGGCCAGGCATGTCCAAACTCGGTCCAAAAGCCCAATCACACACACCTGGGCAAGCTTTTACAAGGCTTTCTAGAAACATCCTTGCAGCTGTGTTGAGGCAAGCTGCAGGTAAATTCTGCAGGACACCGGCCCTCCAGGACCGAACTTTGGACAGCCCTAGCCCTAATACCTGTACTAGTAGGTCACGTCACTGCCATGAGCTACCCAACCATTCTGGAGGACCAAGGGCACCCAGATCTAAACATTATTAAGCCACTGTAGGAAGGTTTGGAGGAGCGAGTCAAGAAAGTCTTCCTCCACGAGCATCACACAGTGAGCTGGCCATGATTCTGCAAGAATGACTCAAAATCCATCTGGCCACTGAGCAGGACGCCCAGGACGAATTGATGCTGTATCGGCCTCAAGAGGAGGCCCTACACCAGGGCTGGGCAAACTCGGTCCTGCAGGGCTGATGATGTCCTGCACAGTTCAGCTCCAACTCTAATCAAACACACCTGCTTATAGATGATTAGTGATCTTGGAGACACTGATTAGCATGTTCAGGTGTGTTTGATTAGTGTCGGAGGTAAACTGTGCAGGACACCAGCCCTCCAGAACCGGGTTAGCCCACCCCTGCCGCACACCATACTATTGATGATGTAAAACCAGCCGTTTCAGTTTCACTGTCCACCCCTGTACATTCTTAATACAGAAGCAGTTATGAGTTGAACAAACTAAATTTGACTAATAAGACAAGCTTTATTATTGATGTTAAGTGTTCATTTCTTCTTTCTTGTCGGCTTAGTCCCTTTATTCATCCGGGGTCGCCACAGCGGAATGAACCGCCAACTTATCCAGCAAGTTTTTACGCAGCTGCAACCCATCTCTGGGAAACAGATGTTAAGTGTTAATATTATTATTAATGTCTTGAAACGGACATGCAGATATCCTCACTGAACACAGACCCAGCAGAGCACTCAGACAATAAGGATCAAGTATCTCAGAAATTCCCAGAGCTCATTCACAGCCGAGCGCCACTGTGCTGCTGGACTCAGCGTCCAGGACTGATCAGATGTGCTCCAACATTAGCTGTGCTGCGTCCATAACCCTGCACTATTTACATCTTTCTTTCTTTTCTCCCTTTCTTCATTGCTTTTGAACATTTTTATTCTGTTTTGAAGATTTTTTTTTTATTATTTGTTATTTTTATTTCTAAAATTTGTTGTATTTTGTTTCTTTTATTCAGTTTTTAATTTCTCGTGTGTGTGTGTAATGTGCTATATGAATATTCTTGCATTGATCTATTGACATACGATATGAGTTTGATTAAATCAAATAACTGTAAATGTCCAATGCTTCAAATGTTCTGCTCATCAACAAACCATTTGTTTGATCAAAATGAGTGACGTCATCAATGTGTGACATCATGTTAAACTCGCTTACATCAGAATAAAGCAGTGCGCTGCACAAAAACAACACAGCGCTGCTGCTGTCTGCAGGAGTTCTGTATTTAGGCTGGATCTGTTAACAACCAAGACAAACAGTGTAAACGTCAACACAACACATGTGCTGCAATTAACACTCTAAACTGCTTACAAACGGCATTAAAATAATGTTGTTTTTTAATCTTTGAGAGTTTAATAAACACATTAATGCAAGTTTGAAATGTTTAAAAACAACTTTCAATTATTACAATTATTTACTGCTATAACAAATATTTCGGGCGACGCAGTGGCGCAGTAGGTAGTGCTGTCGCCTCACAGCAAGAAGGTCTCTGGTTTGAGTCTCGGCTGGGTCAGTTGGTGTTTCTGTGTGGAGTTTGCATGTTCTCCCCGTGTTCGTGTGGGTTTCCTCCGGGTGCTCCGGTTTCCCCCACAGTCCAAACACATGCGCTATAGGGGAACTGGATAAGTGTGTAGTGAATGTGTGAATGAGTGTGTGTGGATGTTTCCCAGAGATGGGTTGCAGCTGGAAGAGCATCCGCTGCATAAAAGCGTGCTGGATAAATTGGCGGTTCATTCCGCTGTGGCGACCCTGGATTATTAAAGGAACTAAGCTGAAAAGAAAATAAATATTTCTTTAACAACACATTTAACTAAGGACTTAAACAATAAAACGTTTTTAAAACACAGCTTTTAAAATAGTTTTTTCGTCATATTTTACCCAAAATTAATAATTCTACGCATTTCTGAGCTCATGGAAATACCCCAGATGTCTCTCCTTTGTACCCCAGGTGACATAACGGGTGTGGCAGATCAACCTGTTACCTGAGTGTACGTAAACACACACAAACACTCAGTGTATCTTATGTTTCTATAGTCATCCACGGGCTAATCTCCATGTGTCATGGACCTGCAGGGCTGCCAATGTAAAGAGCACTGCTGGGACAGAGCCCCGGCCGCTCGGCGCGCGTGTGATGGGCAGAGCGGGTTGTGTTGAGACCTCGCTACATTCTGAGAGCCAGAGTGAGTGCGCTCACTCCAACTTAACGGAAAAAACAAACAAAGGGGCCTGCGCACCTCTCTTTTCTCTGCTCTTCCGGGGGATGTGGAAGTTCAGTCGCGGTTGTTTTTCGGCTGGCTTTGCGGCCCGTGAGCCGCTCTTGACCCGTATCTCTTCACCGGGACCGTCCGAACATCCATACTCTTCCTCCGTGGCGCCATTTTGGCTCCATGAAGGCGCAGCAGGATTGTCTTTCTCCGTGTTGCCGTGTTTCTCTCCTCGATGCTCCATCGCCGCTTTATTCATGAGCTCCAGGCATGAGTGGACATGGATTCTCCTGGCAGCGCTGCATGCAGCGTAGGGTTTGTGTCTGCTGTGCTGAACGCGCCTCACATAAACACACACTCATGTACATGCCCACTCACTCCCGCAGTGTGTGTGTGTGTGTGAACAGATCGCAGCAGCGCCGCCCAGCGGCTCCATCATGACACTGCTCGATGATGTCAGCCGAGCAGGCTTCAATGCTGAACGGTTAATATAATTTCCCTGCTGTTGTGTTCATGAAGACCTTTATACTGTGATTAAGGCTATACCTAATGGCCTCCTCATTTAATAAAATGCCACTTGTCATTTGAAGTGATTATTTAAAAAAAGAACCACAGTTTTGGTTGAAGATAAATGCATTTACGACATAAAATGTAGTAATAAAATATTAGAAATGCGTTTGAGTCGAAGAAAAGAGTCACTCCGAGGGGAAATGTCTTTAAAATTCTCTAATAGATCAAATTAATTGGGAAAGCTTGCCTTACAAGAGTTGTTCCCAACAAAGTTAAAGAGTTAAATGTAAAAGTTTAGTGCAATATCCACCGCACAGAGGAGACTGTCTGACTCACACCGTGTCTTCTGGAACTCAAGCATCCAATCGATTGATCCTCTTTTTGTCAAATGCCCTCATGGTGATGTGTTTTGGTCAGATTTATCCCACTATTATTCATCAAAATAATATATTTGTGAGATGTAAAAGTGGTTGGAAGATCTTTCGCTGTTGTATGAAGCACAGCGCCGTGGTCAGACTCAAAGCAGGCGGCTTCTGCTGGTCTGATGAGAAAGTTCCTGATTATTTGGATTTCTATCAACTTTGGTAGCTGTGGCTCAGTGGTTAGCACTGTTGTCTCACAGCAAGTAGGTGGCAGGTTTGAGTCCCTCCTGGGTCAGTTGGCATGTGGAGTTTGCATGTTCTCTCCATGTTGGCGTAGGTTTCCTCCACAGTCCAAACACATGCGCTATAGGGGAACTGATCAACTAAACTGGCCGTAGTGTGTGAGTGCGAGTGTGTATGGGTGTTTCCCAGTACTGGGTTGCAGCTGGAAGGGCATTAAAACATGCTGGAATAGTTGGCGGTTCATTCCGCTGTTGTAACCCCTGATAAATCACAGATAAAGCCGAAGGAAAATGAATGAATGAATGATTGTAAAGGGACAGTCCACCCAAACCTTTAAATGTACTCACTATTTACTCTCCGTCAAGTGGTCAAGTGGTATGAGTATAACATTGGAAACCTGTAACCATTGACTTCCATAGCAGGAATAACCAACGCGATCTCACCGCAATGCGTAACCTTTTGATTTAGTGGCTAAATTGTATGAATTCGTATTTCATACAGTTTGATACGATTTGCTGATCACCCAATGACGGTTGGGGTTAGGGGCGGGGTTAAGTGCCACGCCTCCTTTTTAAAATCGTACAATGTCATATGACTGAACTCGTACGAATGAATCACTAAACTGGCAAAAACGTAAAATACTTACGTTTCCTCGTAAGATCAGGCTGGGAAAAACAATACTAGGAAGTCGCTGCTGACAGGTTTACAGCATTCTTCAAAATATCTACTTTTGTGTTCAAAACAAGAAAGAATCCCATAGAGGTTTGAAGCCAGCCAATGGAGTGTAGATGATGACAGAGTTAAAATTTAGGGGTGAACTAGTCTTTCAAGGTGTCCATGTGTAACCCCGCGGGTTCAACACCACTCTACCCGCTCCGAGCTGGTATCGAAACGGCGACCTTTCACATGGGAGTCGATTGCTCTACCAAGGAAGCTAAAGACCACGACCGCGAGTGTCAATCACTAGAGCACCTTTACAGGTCAGAGGAGCGACACTTGTTCTGGGATACTGTACTATTACAACTGATCACGCAACTAACCTGCATTCTAACCCCAACCACATATGAGCTAATTAATTTGACTCGGTTGTTAAATGGATAAGACACCTTAAAATAAAGTGTCACCTGAATATCCGTCAGTCATATTGTCTTAGATGTTTGGAAGATGTAATTAGGAACGTCTCCCGGGGATCATTAACTTTAAACAGATGGTCTGAGAGAGCTACACTTATCATCTGTTCTCCATACTCATCTGTGTGTGTGTGTGTGTGTGTGTGTGTGTGTGTGTGCGTAATTATCCTTATGCACACACGACCTGATTCTGCTGTGAGGAGGGGCGTCGCCCAGGGGCCCTGTCACTGTCAGGGGGACGCCAGAGAAAAACACACCTGAGACGAGTGTCTTCTTCAGAGGATAAACACAGCGAGACGCTTCAGCCATATGCCAGACCTGTGATTGCATCATCAACAGTCATAATGCTCCTGAAGGAGTTCAATCTCAGCACACTCTGCTCTTACTAATATGGAGAAAACGTGTCTGATACTTTACCTGCAAATACAAATGAACCATTTTTAGGCTTACACTTTAAATAGGAAAAGAAAATGATGCAGAAAAAAAAGATTCAGTCTTATTTAAAGGTTCAGGGTCAGAGAATGAGGTGTGTCGTGCATTGAAGAGGACAAATCTTGTATTTTACTTATTATTCAAACACTGTTATCATCCAAACATATATTAAACTGCACAATACTGAATTTTAAAATACACGTTTTGAACTATTAAGAGAATATATTATAAGTCTTTAACACTATATATTCCTATTTCACTGTAATTAAACACTGTTACCATGAAACTAATGAGGCAGCGGTGAATAAATAAAGCAGACTGCAAATAATCTCACACATCCCCAAAGTTTTGAATGGCAGCATGTGCAATCAAGGGTTTACAGAGGAACACGCACACACACACACACACACACATATATTGAAAGGTAAGTGTAGTGATAGTCAAATAGGAGTGGAGTAAATAGAGTTGAATGTTCTCTGGATCCCGGCGGTCCTCATTATGAACGTGATCGGCTGCACTGGAGAAACACTAGC